AGGGTCACGCGCGAGGCGAGACTCGGAGCCGGTATTTCCCCTGACGCCGCTTTTGTGCAGCGGGTGTTAAAAGCCCCCGTGCCTCCCGGGCGGCTCTTGGGCCAGCCAAGGAGCATTCCCAAGCTGCGGTGCTCAGACTGCCGCCACACGCTCGCCACCAGGCCCTTCCACTTCCCAGATTTTAGAGTATTTATCAGTTTTTGGCTCAGAGCTGCCGGTTTTGGCTCCCTCGCCGCACCAGGAGCGCAAGCTCTGCCCGCACAGAGCCGCGGGCAGACAAAATAAACCGGCCTTATCTGGCGAGAAGCGGTCCCGGCACACGGGGCACCTCAGCCCCGTCCTGCCAAGCTCGGGCAGCCGGCCCCCAATTAGCGGAGTCATTAAGGAACTCATACAGGGCTGGGAAACACGCGACTCGCCCTAATGACTTTAGCAATAAGGTGATTTCTTTCTAAATGAGGCACGTCCTGCTGCGCCGAGGCTGTTTCGCGGCTCCCAGGAACAGACGTGTGTTTAAATCGCTGCAAAATGAGGAACCGAGCGGTTGTTTTGGAAACCAAAACTGATCTGGACCCGGGTCGCTTTGTATTGCGTGTGGCCAAGCTGGTCCCTTGAAAAAAGGGCTGGATGGCAACGCTACTTTTCTATCTCTTTTCATTACCTTGCCTGCAAACATTAAATTGCTTTAATATTTTGTATTTAATTTAGTTTTTTTCCCAACATAAAGCATATATTCTGAAAGTCACAGATTTTAATGTCCTCGATTTCAGAATATAGCAGAACTGCTGCTGCTTGGCTGGAAGGGCCTCATGTTAAATATGGCTGGCTTTCTAAGCATGTCATAGGTCCTTTTAAGACTTAGAACCTGGCATCTTCTGCAAACACAGTTATTTTCATTGTCTCCTAAAACAAACAAACAAACAACCCCCCAAAACCTGTATTTTCAAAAATAATGAAATTGTTAGAAGAAAAGATAAATTGTGAAAAAAAGGCCTCAAGATTACTACTTCGGGAAAAGTGTACATTTGGGGAAAAGGTGCTTTACAATAGAAATATCAATACTTTTAAAGGGACGATGGAAAATTAATTTCTCTTTTCCCCATCGTTTTAAATCTACCTCATAAGAACAGAAACAACCTCCAATGAACTTCGAGGGTATTACTAGTTCAGTTGTGTCGAACTGGAATACTTGGTATCCTGCCACTGTTTAAATGGTTATTTCACATCCTGTCCCCGGAGAGAGCTTTTTTCAGGGAAATGTGTCCTTAAATAGCAGCAGTTATCACAGACTGCTACAAAACATGGGAATAGGTTGATCTGGCCAATTTTAAATAAGGAAGTTGAACGCTGAACCGTCTTTTCTAGCTGCAGGGAGCGCAGGCGCCCAGCGAGCGCTCAAGCCTGCTGGCAGCTTAGGAAATAGTTAACTGACAGTCCTGCTTCGAGGTGAAGCAGTGTTTACCAGGTGCCTTGCAAAGGCTGAATGTTAATAAACTACAAATTCTGTCCTTGAGACCATAAACCCAAACTATGATGCACTGAAATACAAAAATGACTGGATGTGGCGTGATACTGGCTGGCTTGTGCAACAGAAAGGAGCTGTTCCTGCTTCTCCTAAACACACCCTGCAGTATGGGGCTTTCCAGCCTTGAAGTTGTTTACATCCATAAATGCATTTGTCTGTTGAAAAAAAATATTTCTGGTCATGCATTTAAATACAGTTCTTGGAGGGGCAACTGGGGCAGCTGGGCTTTGAAATCATGTTATCAGATTCCTATTCAAAACGCCTTTGCAGACAGAAGTCATCCTGATCTCAGAAGACCTTCAGTACGTTGTGAGCTGATACTTCAGGAGATGCCCAAGGTCTCCATGAAGGGCAAAATGGTTTTCTTTATATCTGCCAACAAAGTGGGAACTCGGAATATTTAGGAGGAAAGAGCAAGAGGCTGGTAGTCTCGTGCCCCTGCTCTTTGCTATAAGTTGGAAACATGAGCTCAAGAAGTGGTGCTCAGCTCTGGCTGGGTGCAGCATAGCCCTGCTCGAGCTTCTGGAGCTGGGGTAAGAAGCCAGCGAGCCGGGCCAGGCGGCTGCGCTCTGCCTCCTGTGCAGACACCTTTCCTGGGCCACGGGAGCCCTCTGGAACCATCCAGCCTCCCTCCACATCTCGCTGCGCATCTTCAGAGACCTTGTGCCAGCTGCTTGCTCGTTCTGTTTTGGATCCAGCTCTTTTCAGGGACCTCTGGAGAGTTGGGCAAGCTCAGGATGTATCTGCAAAATATTTGCACACATTCATCACAGTAGAAATAGATGCTTTGCAATATATATTCAAGAGAAAAGAGAACTCCAGTCCTTCTACCGCTAATAATAATAGAAAAGGGTTCACGTTTCAGTACAATGCAAGCTGATACACTGTATTGAATTGTACTGGTAGGAGGAATCAGATATTTGGGTTGTCTTTTTTTTTTTTTGTAAGTCAGTTCAATACAACTAACTGCCAGTGTTAAAAATACAGAGTACGTTAAACTAGGAAGCGTAAGTTTAAGATTCAAAGCTCCTTTCAAGTAGAGTTAGGAGGAGATGGCACCTCAGCCTTGTGGGGAACACGAAAATGAGTGTCTTGTACATGTGTCTGTGTAGTCTTAGCATTTCTGCATATATTTCTCACCTTAATTCTGGATACGATAACATTATTTAAGTGCTGTCAGACAGCAGTTGTAGCTCTCTTTCTGAAAACTGCAGATCATTCTAGTTATGGAGCTGATGAAGATAAACAGGAACAAATCCCAGGCTTCCATGTGTGCTCTTATCACGTCAGAGATCTCATTAGATCAGGGTGCAAGCAGCCTTTATCCTATTGCAGAGGTAAAAACCTCAAGCTGCTTAGTGCAACTGATTCCTTTCCCCACTCCGCGCTGGCTGGTGGAGATAAACATGGTGTTGCCTTGGCCTTCTTAGCACAATAATATCGTTTTTACTCTTGCCAGGGTGTGGTACGACGGGCTTGAGGCAAGTCTTGCAAATAGAGAGGAAACACATGACTTAAAAAAGGGCTTTGCAAAGACATCACAATTCCCCCGTTTGTCAGGACTTTGGACTCTTCTTAAGGCACTTGAGTGCAGTAGCAGTATATTATAGCTAAAATAATCCTTTCAAGAACAAGGATTGGAAGGGATCTGTGAGTCACTGATTCCACTTCCAGGCTGGTTTTCATATCGTCTCTTTCATAAACTTACCGAGCTCCGGGAATTTTGACCAGATGTCCAGAACCACAAGCAACCCTAGGGTCTTTAGACTGACTTTATCGTATGCACAGCCCATGCTTATCAATCACACTGTATTTATAGACAGCTTCTCCAGCAGTCCAGGCATTTTTCTTTTTTATAGGAAAGATTCAAATGCCATGAGAGGCAGGACATACTAAATGATTTTGAAGAAGGCTCTGTACCTCTACAGGCCCTCCTGATGTGACATAGGATTGCTCTAAAACTACGCTGCACAGCACGATGGTTGCTAAAAGATGAATCAGCACTAGCAAGCGTTATTGCACCTGACCTTGAAGGCAAGTGGACCAGGGCTATGAGCAGCACAAAGTCCAGAAGCCATAGGTGTAAGTGGGAAAGTTAAAACAGGCTGCTGCACCCAACCTCCACCCAAGAGCTCTGTTGCAGAATAACTCAGGCTGGGCTTAACTTGGTGTTGGTTCTGGAGGGAATACACACACGCACACACCAATTTATAAAGCTGGAGACCAGTTTTATAAAAAGATAAATGCCACGGTCTTATTCGCACTTCAGCTTGGCAGCTGAAGATCGGGAACTGAAAGATCAGTTATCTTGTCTCACCTCTGAGCAGATTTGAAAAATTCATGGACTGCATAACCTTTTCTGGGTTGTTTTTGGTTGAAGTTGTGGTACTAGGAATCTAAGCTGAAATGCATTTTTTTCTTTCTTCTTCTTCCCCTCATCCATAATTCAAGACAGCTCAGATGCCCGGTCACCCCAAACTAGTATTGCTCAATATTGTTGGCTCTGAACTGAGCAGACAAGTGCCTGTACTATAAACTACAAATGCAATTGTCATTTAAGCTGTCAAATCAAATAAGCTCAAAGGTTAAAATAATATCTGCATTGTAAAACATGATCACTCCAGATTAAGTTTGAAAAATTTTGACAGAGAGAGTCTCTCCTGGAACGCTTTTTAGTGAAGCAGAAAGCTTAACTTCAAGGTTGCTAATCTATTACTGGCCTTAATCAGCATGCTGATACAGGGTTACTTGTTAAATCTGCACTAGGAGTGTTGCACGCTCACATGTCTTCAGCAATGCAAGGAAAAAAAAAAAAAAAACAAACCTATTCCCTTTACAGCTTATCTCTAATTGCGCTGAGAGCCATTCAAGTAATTCCTCTGTGCAAGAGCTAATGGTAGAAGAGAGATAGACAGAACTCTGTCTTATCACACGCAAGGTAACAGTATTGGCATATCCAAAGTCCAGGCTTCGCTCTGCAGACTCAGCAGGGCAGACGCGGCGCCACGCGCCAGCGGCCTCCGAGCGCCACGCGGGGCGGCCTCCGAGCACGGCGTCAGCCACCGCAAACGCCACAGGCGTCCCCGCGTCCCTCTCCTTCCTTTGGTACCACAGGCGTCCCCGCGTACCTCTCCTTCCTTTGGTACCACAGGCGTCCCCACGTCCCTCTCCTTCCTTTGACCTAATAGAGGAAGCAGCAGCTCCCTGCTTGGGTGTCAGAACAGCCCCCTACACTTTTTTGCAGCGCTACCACAGCCATCGAAAGCCTCTGTTCCTCAAGAGGACCTTACTGCAGAGACAGCAACTGCTCTCCAGTTGTGTTCCGGTTTGAGACCTGCTGCTTCTGCTCCAAACCTCAAGAACAGGCTGTATATCTTAATGGTTATTTATTTTTAGCACTCTATTAGTTTAACAACAGCTATTACCTCTAGCTGCAAGGCTGTTTGTGAGTGTCTTTAAGGTCTCCTCGCTCCTTCATCACTACTTCTAGAGTGTTATTTGTGCGACCCAGGGGTCCAGTGTTCCAGGGGTTATGCAGAAAGTCAGCTGCATTTTCTGAACAAACAACCCAAGCCTTTGAGACACTCACCCTGCTGCTTAACAACCAGTCCACTCGCTCAGCTCACAGCCTTTCCAGGGGTGTCCCTCCAGTTTGCAGCATTTCTGAGGAGAGAAAGAGCATACAAGAGGCCAGTTTACCAATCGCATCAAGTTAAGTGCTGATTCACTAATAAAAACAGTGTTACTTTTCTAAAGAAGATGAAGCTGAAAGCAGGAATATGTTACCGTGGTAAAAATAAAGCACCCAAACACAGATATTCATGATAGAGGCTGGTAAATACAAAGTATTTGTATTTGTAAATACAAAGGAACATTTAAAAGCCTGTCCAGGTCCTCTCTGGGATAAGCATCGTATATATGGTGACTGCTCCCTAATGCTAGGCAGGTTTAAGAAAAGAGAATAGTGCTATTGGAATTGCATAGCCTCACAGGGAACCCAAAGCCTGTTGTTTTAGCAGTCAATAATACTGAAAAAGCAAAGTATCTATTTTGACAGAGAGCATGCTGGCAAAACGCTGCATGCTCACAGGAGGTAAGTTTTCAGCAAATAAGAGCTGAAGGGGAAGCATTTGCTAGTACAAGTTACATTCTGCTACAAGTCAGTCATATCCCCTAAGGATAACTGGCTTCACAGAACACAGCTGTGAAATTCCAAGTTGAAGAGGAGCTAAAACCATTTTGCCAACTGCTCATAGCTCTGTTTGGCAGGATAAACACACTTAACGCTTCATATCAAGCAACTAACAGAGGATGCAGGGAGAAAAAGATGTGTTTGTATTACTTACATAAAAGAACAAAAAAAGAAAAGGAATAAGCAACCTTTCCCTTGTGAGGACAAGAAATAAATCCTTCTTTGTTCAACCTCCCATTAAAATGCGTTGGAGTAACCAGACTCAAGAGCTTTTTTGATTAAGTTTAGCAGAGGTGGAAGGCTGTAGCTTTTGAAAAAGGACAGAGGTAAAGTCATATCCCCCTCTTACCAGTTGTATAAGATATTACATGTAGTGTACAGTGCGATAACAATTGTACAGAACTATGTATTTAGCTAGTGAGATAATAATGGTAGCTTTCACAGCCATGTATTTAAAGGAATTAATTGCTCACTTGAAGGCAGCTTGAGCTGAAGTCTTCATCCATTGAGATACCTAACCATGTAGCAGGAGCTGCAATGCCCAATTCCTGCATAGAGCTGGGACTCTGTTCTCTTAAGCCGTAACATGCAGTATTTCAGGGTTTTAAATTTTGAAAGAAAAAAATTGCCTTTCAGCATCAGCAGCTTTAATACAGCAGATTTGGCAGCCAGGAATAGCTAAAGGCTCAATGGAGAAGAGTCTTCTACAAAACAACACTTTTTACAGTGATGATCAGCAAAAGTTAACTTCCCATTTCAACAGCATCATAAGAGCTAAATGAGTTTATACTTGATTCACCTGTCCCTGTAGGCTCACTATATACGATGGCTCTGGTAGTTGCTGGTACTCTCCAATAACTTGCAACAAAATATCAGGGGCAAAGCCTGCGCAGTTTGCCACAGACTCTTTTTTTCCCCATAGGGAATGTTGTGTGCTCATTTGCTGACCAACTTCCTTATCTCCAGAACCTCAAAAGTGCTGTTGAGGGACAACACCTCCAAGATACCCTCTGCAGAATAAACCTTGGTGATCCTTCAGCGAGTCCCTGAAAGCCTCAGGCAGCAAATATCCAGCATCTCATTCCTAGCACACATGGCATCAGACCTAGCCCTTAAGCTCTGGCGTTTGTGGGTTTCCATTTGTCTCTGCTACAAGGAGGCAGAGCAGGGTCAGTCATCACCAGTTTGGTTTTGGTTTCGGTCCATGTTACCTAAATCAGGTTGCTGGGTCCCCCTAGTGGCACCACAGCCAGAGAGGCTGGTGCCAACCGTGCTTTTTAGCCTTGGAAAGGAGGGTCGTGGGCCGCGCCGCAGCAGTGGCCAAGGGAGGCATCTCCTTGTTGGAAACAGGGGCGAACGCTGAACGATCCGAGGGATGACCATTACAACAGCCCGAGTACCAAAAGCACTTTAATGAGTTCCATATCATTTCATTCATTGGACAAAGTCATTATATGTCAGTACATTAGGCAGGTATGCAATTTCTACTGAACCATATAGGCATTATGAAAACAGATTACAGCGCACTAGGTATTTAAAGTTACCCTCAGTAACAAGTTTTCCACAGTATTAGAGATAAGGCATATTGCAGATGTGAAAATGGCTGCTATATCCAGGCCCTAGATGCCATATTTGCCCTTCAGTTCTTCCACTTTCTCTACATAGGCTTTCATTGCATCTTCCTTGGACGTTCCTGAAAGACACAACACAGGAGGCAGTCAGAAGAGATCCAGCAGCCCAGCCCAGCCCTCTCCTGTAAGCTCCCCTCAAGCAGCTCTTCCCCAAACACTCTTTGCACTTCCAGGCACACACAGACCACAATGTCTTGCATCATCCTGGTGTCACAAGCATATCTGTTCCACACGAGCTTTGTTCACTAGGTCTGTATTTTCTGCTGGTTCACTCCCTAGCGCATCTGGGCTAACAAAGACCCCAAACCAATGCCACCAGAAATACAACAGTACGAGACAGCGGTGAAGATTGTTTATTTAGGTTGAGCAAATCCAGCTGATGCACACATTCACCTATACACCATGCAGATTCACACAGGGCCTGAGCATCTATAGGTACATGCAGTCTACTGGTTGCTTGCACAAACATACAACTTTGCTGCCACCTTATGAACAGTTATGCAGGCTACTCAGAGGCCCAACTTTGAACATTTTTCAGTCATGAGCCTACTTCTATATCCAGGCTGGATATCGCTGATTTACATAGGCACTTTCAAGTTATTTCAAGTTAAAGAAACAACTTTCAGCAACATTGCTTTTTGCAGGGTCCCCGTTTTGCTTTTCTCTCAGAAATCATGACATAAAATCACTACCCAAGTCTTGTCTTGCACTGAAACCGCCCCTGCTGTGGCCAGATAGCAGAAAGCTGGCAGGCAGAACAGTACAGTAGAGAGCTGGCAGGCAACACAGGAACTTCCTGCTTAAGCATACTTATTTTTTGGCCTGTTATTTTGCATCTGTGATACTTCTCACTTGCCTGAGCCCTTCTTAAAAGTACTTTTCTCAAGTGTATGGTTATCCCAGTCAGCAAGCACTTAGGCATTAAGATGTCCTCCTCGTGCAAGCTACAATTCCCCGTTCTAACATTTAGCAACATGCAAACAGACAGCAAAGCAGCTACAGTGTTGCCTCAATGTGCATCTAGTATTAGTTTTAAACAAATGCTATCAGCAGCTACAAGAAACACATTCTACATCAAGGTTACATCTGCATAGACGGCAACAGAACAGTCTATTATTTGTATTTAGTCCATTCCGTACTACAGCAAAGCTATTCAAGGAGCTCATGCTGCATTTTGGTGCAGTTCCAATTCTTGTCTTACATGGTATTTTACACTGCAACATGCTTCATGCTGAACTACCTCATATTTCCCCCCTGCCCCCCATTTTTTACACAGACTGTTACCTTTCAATGCGCTCCAGGCATCCCACTTTGCTTTCCCTTTGAAGTCAAGCATACCAGGACGCTCTGAGAGGATTAACAGTAGAATTAGTTTGTGGGGCTGGGCTGTAGATAACATCTAGCCCTTTCCTGAAAGCTGTCTGCTCTTAACCACGACAGACTAAGATGACCCACCACTGCAGACATCACTTATTAACTTGCAGAGAGGAGAGCAGGCTGCAGTGCTATCAGCTGTGACAGAAGTCCCTTAAGCCAGCAGTATTTGAACAAAAGAGCACCACAAAGTCTCCTGGTTTATGGCTGTACTTTCTGAAGGAACTTTTCTAGCATGAACACTACCCAATTAGGGGGCATTAGCTCTGAAATAGAGCAGAAATCCCCCTGCCCAAGGTCCATTACCTACAGAGACATGAAATCTGAAGTACTAGTTATAAATACAGCTTAGAACTTGTTATCCTCAAGCTAGCAGTATTGTAATGTAGTTTTTCTCGTGCTTTTTCATCCTAGTGGTATATGCACTGAATTATGGCTTACTTCATTATACGCCAGGGGTGGTTGCAACCAAAAAGACGGGAAAAAAAAGAGGTCAGATATAAACGTACTTGCAATTATTTTTCATGTAAATTCGCCTCTTTTACCAGTTTGCTATCCCATTAAACGCAATTCTTTGTATTGCCAGTTTAAGGACTGGACAGCAGTGGGTACACGAGTCTTTGCAGTGCTCACATGGCACCGTGACCTATGAGCCAGTTGGCAGCTCCCCCTCTTACTGTTGCAGAGATTGCTCTTCTGGCCAACTCCCGTTATCTGCGGCCTCACAAGAATACAGGCCACAAACACACACTGCCAGCACATGTCTCTAGCAGCTCTGGGTTCAACCTACACCCAATAAACTTAACCACTAGCGGAGTAAGGAGGCTTGCACACAAGCAAAGGGCCTTTCTCCTTGCTCAACCTAGTTACTCCAGCGCTCCACAAGGTCAATGGACACGGGGCCCATTCTGAGCATTATTCACAGTTTGAGCTGTAGGGGATATAGGCAAAGCAGCAGGAGCAGCACAACAGACCTGGCAGAGTCTCACCTAAAGGTATTTTATTACAAGTTTTCAAAAACATGATAGTTAATCACCACCCCGGAAAGTTTTTCCTGTTTTACATACACTTGTGTTGTTTTCTTCCGCTTTGGGCTTCCAAATCTATTTTTAGCTGCAGATATTGTTACTCCCCAGCTCCACGTTTGCGGCCACACATTTGTATCTTGCCTCGCCAGTTAAGCCTGTGTAACCAATAAGTGCTGGAATACTGGCCACAACCCTTGCCTCGGGCAGCTCCTCACGGATAAAGAGCTCCAAATTCCCATGGTGCGAAGGCCTCCCCAGCCTCCTCGTGAGGATTTAGGCGCTCGCCTCAGAGTTAATCCCCAAGTTGCACGAATCGCTACGCGGAGCGGCCGGGCTGGGCCGGCCCAGAGCCCTGCGGTGCTCACCCGTGTTCACGTCGCCCACCGTGGCCTGCTTGTAGTGGCTGTAGATGTCGAGCATCTCCTGATCGCTCGGCTGCGACTTGAGCCGCTTCACCTCCTCCGCCGCCTTCTCGAACGCGGCCTGCGGGGCA